TTTAAGTTTATTCCTTTAGACAACATGAGATACTAAAATCAAGATTTTTGGACTACTAATGATGCGTGACTAAGGCATTAAAAAAAAATCTTACTGGGTTTCCTGATGCCATTTTGAAATGGAAGAAAATAGAGACAATAAAAACACTGAAGAGACCTAGGCAGTGCTTTGGGTGGTAAGTAGGTGGTTTCTGAATTTTAAAGAAAGATTATGACAAAAAAAAACCAAGACAACAAAACAAAACTACCTTAGTTTTTTTTTCCTCACTCCAGTATTTGACAAATATGGGCATATCTCAGGCTGCAGTCTTGATTTAATTTGGCAAAAGTTTCCCATTCTGCCAACAGTGTATCCAGTTCTACATATTTTGTAAATTCTTAGCAGTTACCACCGAGCAGTACTTTACAGACTACCAGCTGAACAACGTTAATTGCATCACACTAACTCTATTACAGCCGACCAGTTTATTTGGAAATAGGTTTAATTTCATTTCTGCATCATTTCTAGAGTCATCAGATGATTGTGGGGAAGAATTCCCACTTCTTCGTGATAGCACAGTCTATAGGAGAACACTTCTATGCGATGGCAGAGCTCTGCGTTAAACTGCTCTTTAGATAATTAAAACAATCAGAGCTGCAGGATCCCTCATGTAATATTAGATATGCAAGCACAGAACATTTTATAGGACCTGATGAACCTAGAGGTCTTTTCCACTCCAAATGGCTCCATGATTCATAGAATCACATAATGACAGAATGATTTGGGCTGGAAAGGCTTACAGATCATCTCCTTCTAATCCCCTAAACATCACAACATTTATTTAAAGGCCAAATTGTTCACATCATTAGTGAATAAAACACTTGTTTTTTTTCATACTGGATGAAAAATTAACTTCTCTGCACATAACTGAATCTAGAACATAAACAGATTCTAGATCTGTTCCATTATGTTTAAAAGACACCAAATACTGCAGTTCATGCACCTGATTTTACCTTATCTTTAGCAATTTCAAGTTTCTAAGATAAATAAGGAGCTCTTAATTATAACAGGTAATTTTCTCTTAGGAATTAATGATGCAGGGGAACCTTTTTACATCTCTTGATGTACATGGGAGAGACTGGGCTGGTTGTCTCTTGGGGAAACTCAAACGAAGGACAATTTATGAAGTACTTGGAGGTTTGAATATAATCAAATGTAATAACAAGATATAAGCTCCCACTCCCCCCCCAAATTTCTTTTTTGTTGAAACCACTTTTGTAATACTGCTTTTTAATAACCCCCATAATGGCCGAATTAGAGGGACCCCAACTGAAGTCATTCATCCCACATAAAACAAACATTGCTTTTTCTTCTTAGCTTTGTTTTACAAGCTACATTACTTCCAGATGACGCTCGAGGGGCCTAGGAGTTTCAAGAGTTAGATGGTTAAACAGACAGCTGCTTTCTATTTACCATATAAATCAGGAAAAAATCAAAGAAGAATCTAAATATTGGAATTCATTTAGCCCATTATGGAGCACAAACTGAGGGGGAAAAGAAAATAATACAGAAATCTCATCATCCAGATGCAAAGTTTAATTCTGGTTATCAAGATGAGAGGAAAACTCATCAACATTTGCAGAATTCCAGCCCTCCATGAAAGCCAGCTTTGCAGAGTGGGTAAATTTACTGGATTGGGAAGGAGTCATGAGAAGTCAGCTCTGATTGGGAAGTCTCCAGCACTACCAGGCTTTGCTACTGCAGACTTTATATATATAACTGCACATCAAAACATATATTTTTATACATATACATGCACACACAAAGCTCACTACATTTGTATTTTTTACATTTTTTCCCTTTGAGTTGCCAACATGCTTTCATTCTATGCTAAATAACCCGAAATCCAACACATTTTGGACAGGGGATTAAAGAATGGCTCTCCATATATTGATTAATGTGTCTATTAATATGAAAAGTTTGATATTGCTCTACAAGGTTTTTATCCCAAATTTCATCCACCACTGACGTGCTGTTTAAATTACAATGCTGTGTACTAAATAATTGAATATATTGCCACTAAGTGGGATTATTTTTACAATTTTTCCTAACATATTTAAGCTTCATCTGGCTAGAACAAACTTTTTTTAAACCCAAAATTCAGGAGGTAAAACTCAAGTGATGATGTCTGCCAAACTACTTGAATCTAATACTATATCTACATTTAATTTTTAATTTCCTCAATTTTTCCATTTAGGAAGTTTCTCCTATCAGCAAGAAAATGACATGAACTTGCCAAAAATAAAAATTTACTCTCTTCTTCTCCATAGAAAGAATTAAGGAGAATCTCTCGTTACCAGCTGTAGTTTAAAAAGCAGGGGAAGCACTCAAAAATCATAAAGAATACTATGAAATCCTTGAAAAGAAATTTTTGGTGTAGACGGTAGCTCCAACAACACGTCTGACGTGTTACTTCCCAAGAATTAGTTAATGTCTCTATTTACGCTGTTAAGTACCTCTGATTTGATAAATTACATTAGGCTGTAATGAAATTACTAAGAAAATCATTGATATGTTTACTTAAGTAATACGTCTTGATTTGAACCGAAAGAAGCAAAATTCTCAATTATTTTATTACCAGTTTTCTTGTTTGCTAAAAATATTGGAAAACATGCTTTCATTGAATGCAAGAAAGTAAGAAACATAAACTTAAGTGGATTCTTCCCATTTCTGTTTGGATTATATGTAGTATTTCAAAACAGGTCAATGCTGCAACAAAAACAATGAATAACAGTCTAACAAAGGATTGTATTTAACAACAAAAAATAGTCTTAACAAAGGATTGTGTCTTTGAGGCAATAATGACAGGGGCTGGCTGTCTCTGTCCTGCTGCTTTCTCCATCGTGCTCCTGAATCCACAGCACTGATAAAGAGTTTATCAGGAAAGGACACTGGTCCAGCCTCAGTAAATGAAACAAGTTGCTCTTTTCTTTTTTAAAAACCAGAAAAACCCCAGCAAGAACAATATCAAGACCAATGGGGGTCAGTTCCTTACTTCAGTTCCCAGCTCTGCTGTTTCTCCACAGCCTGATGGCAAACTGCAGCAGATAACTCACAAAAAGAACATTAATAAACATGTAAAGTTCTGTAGAACTCAGTATATTCCTACCATCATCAGTGAGTATAAGCTTAGGGACTGTGTATTGGGTCAAAAACTTACTAGAATATAAAGAGTACTACGGTTCAAACACACAGAATTTAAGACAATATCTTAAACAGCACCTAGAATACTTTTATGTGATTTAACCCTTGGATTCAGGTTCATGCAAATTCCCATTTGGATTACAGAGAACAGTAAGAAAATGAAAAATTTCTAAATTAAAGTGAATGAAAAAAATGGTGAAAAAGGCATTTTTAAAATACTATTTGATCCAAACACAACCTGGCAAGAGAACTGCTCATTAGGCAAACCTCCACCTCTCAACAAACAAACAAACCTGTGCAGAGCAGGCGATGTTGGAATCACCCTTTTCCTCAGCTCCATACTGAGATACAGAGGTAAAACGTGCTCCAGGAGTTCTGACATTTCAGTCCCCTCCACTCCTACACTCCTCCTTGCTCTTACACACAACATAAACACAGGCTTTCAGAAGCAGAATATGCTGAAGTGATGAAATCTGGCCCCAACTTTTTTTAGTCAACTGCCTATGTTTAAGGCTGAGCTGTAACATGAGCAATTTGAAGAGGAAAAAGAAAGGACCACAAAGCCATGCATTAACAGTTTACCTTATTGTTTCAAAATACAGGCCATGAACTTACTTTAGAGTAAATTCTCTCCCCTACACCAATCTTTTCAAGGGCTCTCTTTCTCCCCTCCATCCCCACATCATACCAACAGTAAAAAGAAAAAAATCAGTGGAGTATCTAAGCCTCTTGGCTGTACTCCAGGGAGCTTTCCCAGCTCTATCAGCTGCATTGTTCAGCTGTTTCTGAATGTAAGGGGACAATTTCATATAGAAAGCCTTTCCCCCTGGGCCTTTCCTTAACTGCAGTATTGTTTACATCCAGCAAGTTAAAAAGTTCAAAACCGATAAAATATTTTTCAAGCATTATTTTTTTTTAAGCAAGTATTCTTACACATCTTAAAATATAGTTCTTCATATGTATGTTACCACATGCCTATGTGTGCCTATGTGTTTTGCAGATGTGTATCATGCTGTTTCCCTATTTAAGCCATTAAACTATTATACCAAATTATCTTTTTAGATATTTTTATATTTAATGCTAGAGTAATAGGATATGCAAAGTCTCAGGCAGGCGTATTATGGATCATGCATTAGCCCTGAAAATAAAACAGCTGATACATTTTCATACTCAAAAATCCCAAGCAAATGATAAATCAACTTTTCTGTCCTGCACACAGTACTGCAGTGAGGGTTCAAATGACCACAGACCAAAGATACTTCAGCAGCACAAAGATATTATTCAAGTCCTCTCAAGACGTTCTTCCACCCAAAGCAGAGATTTCCCAACAAGCTGTGCAATTAAATACAAAATTGTTGCCTACTTGTGGGCATTGGCTCAGCAAACTGAAGGGAACTCTAAGTATCCATGTACTCAGAACATACTAATTTACCCCATGACTCCAGTACTCCCTCAGAGGCTCACTGGGAATTGTTTTCAATCATTTTTAGGCATTTTAAGATTCTGTGAATGCTAAAGCCCACTTCTTAAAAACGCCGTTTTCAATGGTGTCATTTAAATATTCTGAATTATAAATGGCTCGAAAAGCATGAGTTGACACTAAGTCTCTTCCCTCTGCATAGCTGTGGTTTTGCTCTGCCATTTCTAAGTGTAACTCTTGTTTTTTAGAGACGTTTCAGACATGACATCATTCATACAGGTTCCTGTATTTTGATGTTGGTGGTTGCTCAGCTGCCACACTGAGGATTCTTTGCAGATTTAGGGATGTATGACTTGAATTCCGAAGCACCCATTACAACATTGATTTTGATACTCACATAATCAGGAAGTGGAGAGTCGTTTGAACCCAAGGAACCTCTCAAGGACTGCGTGGCTTGCTCCAGCACTTTGTTGTGTTTTTTAGACAACAGAGAAAATAGACTGGGGGAAAAAAAGAAATTAAAATAACTTTATGAGAGTGTCCTGAAATAGTTAAGACTATTCAGAAAGGAAAGGTGTCTTATTATATACATAAAATTTTTAGAATGTAATGCACAGTTGTATTATTTATTTATTTATTTATTTATTTAGCATGTGGGTAAGTAACAGCAGAGTTTGAATCAGGAATATTCTATACAATATATGCTCTGAAGAACATTTTTCTGTTCATTATTAAATTCTTAAAAGTCAAACTGTCACAGAAGGAATGGCATACATGCAATTTTAGTTCATAAATAGTTTGTGTTCACTAGAATGCAATTTTTAAGTGCAGCACCTCATGCAATACATTGTAATATATACTTACGTATCTCATATATTATCCATTTTAATAAACTATTTCTTAGACAGGAGAAATCTGAGTATATGATATAAGCTTTGTGTACTTGGAGGCTGAGTTATTGCATTTTACTATTACCTATTATTTTCAAATTTATTTTAGCCTAAGTCAGTTGAAAAAGGATTACCTTAGCTTTACAATCTGTTAAATCAGAGGTCCATACACATACAGAGAAATAAACATATTTTTCTTGCATTCTGGAAAAAAGCAGGGCAATGACACTCAGAGAACATGGGGTAACCTGATTTACAAGGAGAATGGTGGGAGTAGCAGCAGTGTAATAGACCACCAGGTAACGCTCAGCAGCATTACTCCCTTGAGTTTTAAGCTTTGGTGCTCGTAGTTCTCGGGGGGATGCTTTAGCAGGGGTTGATAACACATCAAGATTCAGGGCCAGGCATAGTGGGGTATCTAATCCCAGTGTGGGCCCTGGCTTTCATGGAGCTCAATTAAGCAAGGAGTCAGATACTCCTCTAAAGGCCTGGACAGCCTAAACATGGCTATCAATTAACAGATGAATCCATCCCCATACTGGAAGAGCTTCTAAGACCATGGAGTCCAACATTCCCCCAGCACTGCCAAGGCCACTACTGACCCATGTCCCCAAGTGCCACAACCACTTTTAAATAGTGGCTTTTAAAGTGGACTTTAAAAGGCCACTTTATGAGGACTCCACCAGTGCTCTGGGCAGCCTGTGAAAGAACAACCCCTTCCATGGAGAATTTTTCCCTAACATCCATTCTAAACCTACTCCAGAGCAACCTGAGGCCATTTTCTCTTGTTTGTTGTCAGATGTTTTTAGGCTTTCTGCATTTAAAAACATCATTTGGACTTCTTTACTTCTTTTTGGAGCATTACAGGACTCCTGTCAGGTTTTCCAAGGATGACTGTGTGTGTTTTAGAGGGTAGAATGGCCAGCTTGTCATGAGCTCTTGTCATCCATTGCTAGTCCAGAGCCTCAGGAAAAGGCTTTTCCAACACTCCTCACAGCCACCAGCAATTAGCTACACTAACTCACAGCTATTAGTCAATACCATTAGAACATTCCACGCTAAAAGGGGAAGAAGCAACACAGAAATTAAGATATATCGGTAGCTTTCCACCTTTTTCCCTCTCCCAAATTCTATTATTGCGCTCACAGACTGATTTTTTTTTTTCAGATCAATAACTGGATCTGCAAACTGGTCCTTGGTAGCAAACAGTAGCACTACTTCTGCAACCATGGGTTATCTTTGAAGACAGATTTCAGAGATACTGTCATCAGCACCATCTAGTGCTGTGGAGACAAAATAATCAGTTAAAACCAAGCTGGAGATGCTTATGGTGGGATGCAGCAAAATCAGGTTAAATCTGGTGTCTGCTCCAGAAGATAGAGATAATTTCACAAAGAAGAAGAATTTGGAATAACGCAGATTTCCAACTAGTAGATTCTTCTCCAAAACACATAAAGCATTCAGGCTTTAAAGGAATTTTAAATATAAACAAGGAAAAGGGATCAAGATTTTGAAAGTGCATGTGTCCAATATATATGAAGAGGAAAATTAACATACAGTGGTACTCTGCATGGAACCAGAATAGCAAAAAGTAAATTTATTTACTCCAACAGAAATGTAGAGAACTAAGGAAAAGCAAAAAGGAAAATAATGGACAAATTATTTCCTTATATATTCCTTAAAGATTTTTTTTTTTAATAATTATGTGTATTATAAGTAGAGTTTATGGCACAAGAAAGATCTTGGTGGCTGATTTCTAGTTAAAGAGCAGCAGTGCAGAGGATTTTGCTGTCTTTCCCCTTGCAAAGTTCTGCTTCCCAGCCACAAACTCATGTCTTTCACACTGTACTGACAATTTTTTGTGGGACCAGTGCCCACAACACAGACATCCAGGTTAGAAAAATGCAACACAATTCTCTCCTCCATCCATTGGTAATCCTTCTCCAAGGACCATCCCTTAGATAAGCACAAGGGCAGCGAAACATGGTAGGATTTTTCATACTAAATTTTTCATAATAAAAAGGCATAGAACGTCAAACTCAAACACACCCACAAAAACACTACAGCAAATCACAGGGAAAAAAAAAAAGACAAAAGAAAGAAATAAAGGCCAGATGTTGTGATTAGGAATGGATTTGGAGCTTCCTAGGAAATACTGTTGCTCCCTAAATTGGCGCAAAACTTCAATTCCAAGTCATTCACTTATTATTGTGCCTCTGTCTCTAGCTCTGAAAACCACCTTGATAAACATCAGACTAATTTTTAAAGTCTCAGCACAGGGTTAGTTGCAACCTTCAAAAGGCATTTCTATGAAGTTTAGCTCATAAATACCCTTCATCACCAACAAATGCTGCATTCTAGAAGAGTTGCTTTATTTTGCAGCAGCCATGTCTCCAGTGTATGTAAGGTTTTAAGCTTGATTTTGATTTTCAGGGCATGAATAATGCAATTTTTAAAAAGCAAAAATCCTTTACAACAAGGTTGTTCCTCTCCTCACAACAAGGTACAAGGTCCAGAAGTGGAAGCTGTGACTGTCTCCCAAATTTTCCTCATGTGTCTTCATCACACATCTATTTTTGCCCAACTAAAAGCCAAGTTGAGATCAAAAAGAAAAATATATGTACTTTGTGGTCACTAAGGGCAGCGTGCACAGGCTGACAAGAATATGGATTTTTCTACTGGAATATTTGTCCTCTTTCATCCACTCTTCTCCATCAACTGTCAGGCAGGCTATGGAGCCTGACAGCCCTTCAATCTCACCCATTATGGACTTTTCATAACAATAAAGAGCCATGTCCAGAACAATTAAATCATCTGGGTGTCCTTCATCTCAACTCCTCCCTCCCTCACGGAAGCACATCCAGGCCAATGCACAGGGAGCAAAACAGCAAGCTGGAATAAGAGCAAGATGAGGTAACAGCTGGCATCTGTTAGGAAGATTAGGACTCATCAGGGGCATTATCAGGAGAAATTCCTGGCTGTGAGGGCGGTGAGTCCCTGACACGGGTGCCCAGAGAAGCTGTGTGCAGCTGGGAGTCTCCAAATCCCTGCAAGTGTCCAAGGCCTGGCTGGACAGGGCTTGGGGCAGCCTGGTCTGGTGGAAAGTGCCCCTGACCACACACAGTGTCATCTTTGAGGTCTCTGCAACCCCACACCGTTCCGGGATAATGGGATCTATTACAGATCATCAAATCGCAGCAGCGATGAGCTCAGCCAGCAAGGAAGACTAAAGGCTGAACAACAGTCTCAAGGTCCTGTGGTTGTTTGTTTTCAAGGAATTAAAAACAACATTGATTTCTTACCTCCCTTTACACAGCAGGTTTTAATTTAACTCAGGGCTGAACGTCAATAAATAAAAGGAATTAATACAGACGAAATAGAAATGGTTGCTAATACCAGTGAATTGATTAAGTGCTATTTGCACACACAATAAAATGCAAACCAGTAATATATGAACCTAACACTTTCAAAAAGTCAACTCCACAAAGTGTGTAGATCCCAAAAGGAAAAAAAAAAGCTAATATGGAAACTCATTTAACAAGTGCCTCAAAAAGTCTAATTTACATCAGTTTGAAAACGCTCATGAAGTACACTTTTCACATCAAAAAACCCCAATGTATAAAATGCAGCTTTTATAACTAAATTTGAAAAAAAGATGTGAGAACTAAAATTAAAAGTTGAAAGGAAATCTGAAGTTAGAATTTACCACAAAGTTTTCTGAAAGCTGTGAACAACGAGAAGGAAAGGTAGGAGTGTACTTTATTTTAAGGAAGTGAATAGGATGCTCCAAAATAACATGTCAGTTTGTCCTGAGCATAATACTAGAACAGTGATTGTGAAACTCATTCCAAAGAGGATATCACCCCATCACTAAAAAATACACCTTGTTGATGGTCTTTCAATGAGACTGTAAGAAAAATAAAGCACAGTACCCCTGTTGTAACAAGCTTCTACAAATCATTTATATTACTTTCCTCCA